ATTCCTGTCGCTTTTTCAGTTTAACATTAGTTTCACTCAGATCCATTCTTGGGGTGGGTGTGTGGGGGGAAACTACCTAAGGGTTGTGCCGCAATGGCTAATTCCCTGCTACATTCCAGTAAAAAGTATTACATTTGTGGAGAGAAGTGAGTGAAACTGACAGCTTGTTTGCAGGAAGGATTATTAGCACTGCTTGGGGACAGGCCCAACGGTGAGCGACTGGGATCTGCGTCATATGTTGAGGACCAAATCTGCTTAACCTAACTTTGGGTTAGTACAAAATATTTATATTTCAGGCTTGCTGGAACATTTTACTTTTACATTTTAGCAGACGCTCTTATCCAGAGCGACTTACAGTTAGTGGCCCCCCGTGGGAATCAAACCCACAACCCTGGCGTTGCAAACGCCATGTTCTACCAACTGAGCTACATCCCTGCCGGCCATTCCCTCCCCTACCCTACCCTGGGCCAATTGTGCGCCGCCCCATGGGTCTCCCGGTCACGGCCGGTTGCGACAGAGCCTGGAGTCGAACCAGGATTTCTAGTGGCCTTAGACCACTGCGCCACTCGGGAAGTTTTTGACCCTTCTTCGTAGGGAAACATCATGCTCATGACAAAATGGCATTTTGCAATGTGTTTGTTGTTGGTGGGTCATTGAGATTGGTGATGCTATAAAATGAGTGTAGAAAATAATTAATGGTTGCCATGGCATTTTCACAAAACGTGTAGGGATTTGTTAGCATGCTCAGGTTCTATATTACCTTTAAAAAGATGACTAAACGGACTCTTGATAATTCCATGCTGCAAAACTTTAAACTTCTTGAATGTTTTTGTGATCATTTTGAATTGATATATTGTGAAGTATATACACTCATACACTTTCGATGTAGCAGTATGACAGCAATGACATGACACAGACATGTTCTACTGTGTGAAATGTTTCATAATTCAAGAGAGATCTTTCCATGTCTAACTTGGTCTCTGGAACTTTAACCACTGCTCCGTTCAAAAGTGCAAGCTACTTTTTTAACTTCAAGGACATGAAGATGTGCTCTGAATATCAAGTAGTTTGCTATTGCTAACGAATCCCACTGTGTTGCGTGATACACCTGCCATCCTGTGAATGCTTGTTACTGTAGTACTGCTCTCATATTCATACCAACAGCTGTATTGTTTAGCAACATCAAGTGGGTTGAAATATCACAAGCTCTGGCAGGGGTGTGTGGGCAATGTGTGGCAGCAAAACAAAGGTGGTTTTGAAACTCATTGGGCCTCTGCTTCCCTTCAAAACACAGTGACATGAAAGTTAAAGGTGCAAAGGCTGTTAATGGTTAACAACACTTACAGTGCCTTCAGAAAGTATTCATATCTCTTTACTTATTCCACATTTTGTTGTGTTACAGCCTGAACTGTCAAAACTGTAACTCGGCCACTCAGAAACATTCACTGTCTTCTTGATAAGCAACTCCAGTGTAGATTTGACCTTGTGTTTTAGGCTATTGTCCTGCTGAAAGGTTGTAGTGTATGTTATTCGTAGGTGTTACCGTCAATCAAGGAGTCTGCTCATACTGAACGTCGATCATAAGGTTTATTCAGATCACAAGCTTCAGCATGAGTAACAGGTGACATGACACCCGGAGAGACGCCTCAGAATGGCTGCTTGCTCTAACCTCTCCGTCATTTTCCCCCCTATTTATAAACAATGATGCCCCCTCTTCTGGCCAATCACCAGTCTCCCCTGTCTACAACCCACCTGTCTGTGGTATGTGGTATTACACCTAAAACATTGCCTTCTGATACTAACCTAAACAACATTCCTTGTTCCTCCAAAATAGTCATAATCTCAATACACGACAAGGTGAATTAATCTCCCAGTCTCTGGTGAAAAGCAGACTGAACAAGGTTTTCCTCTAGGATTTTGCCTGTGCTTAGCTCTATTCAGTTTCTTTTTTATCCTGAAAAACTCCTGAAAAACCACTATGCTTGGAAATATGGAGAGTGGTTCTCAGTAATGTGTTGTATTGGATTTGCCCCAAACATAACACTTTGTATTCAGTGGCGGCAGGTAGCTTAGTGGTTAAGAGCGTTGTGCCAGTAACCGAAAGGTTGCTGGTTCTAATCCCTGAGCCAACTAGGTGAAAAATCTGTCGATGTGCCCTTGAGCAAGGCACTTAACCCTAATTGCTCCTGTAAGTCGCTCTGGATAAGAGTGTCTGCTAAATGACTAAAAAATAAATAAAAACAAAACAAGTATTCAGGACAAAAAGTGAATTGCTTTGCCACATTTTTTGCAGTATTACTTTAATGCCTTGTTGCAAACAGGATGCATGTTTTGGAGTATTTGTATTATGTACAGGCTTCCTTCTTTTCAGTCTGTCAATTAGGTTAGTATTGTGGAGTAACTGCAATGTTGTTGATCCATCCTCAGTTTCTCTTATCAAAGCCATTAAACTCTGTAACTGTTTTAAAGTCACCATTGGCCTCATGGTGAAATCCCTGAGTGGTTTCCTTCCTCTCCGGCAACTGAGTTAGAAACACCATCCAAAGTGTAATTAATAACTTCACCATGCTCAAAGGGATATTCAATGTCTGCTTTTTTATATTTACCCATCTACCAATAGGTGCCCTTCTTTGCAAGGCATTGGAAAACCTCCCTGGTCTTTGTGGTTGAATCTGTGTTTGAAATTCACTGCTCGACTGAGGGACCCTACAGATAATTGTATATGTAGGGTACAGAGATGAGGTAGCCATTAAAAAAGCATGTTAAACACTATTATTGTACAGAATTTTAGCAATCAGGAAATAGTGGAGCAATTTCTGCATATTGCACCTTTAACCACTATTATTGAACACAGGATGAGTCCTTATGTGACTTGTTAAGCACATTTCTACTCCTGAACTTATTTCAGCTTGCGATAACAAAGGGGTTGAAAACTTATTGACTCAAAACATTTCAGCCTTTCATTTTAATTAATTTGTAAAAAACAAAAAACAAATCCACTTTGACATTATGGGGTATTGTGTGTAGGCCAGTGACACAAAATCTTAATTTAATCAATTTTAAATTCAGGCTGTAACAAAAAAAAGTCAAGGGGTGTGAATACTTTCAAGGGTTATGTATGCAACATTAAGTAACAATGTATGTTGAAAATTCTACCAATTAACATTATTAACACTATTACTTCCACTTCAAGGGCATTTGGACACACACATGCACGCACGCACGCATACACACACACACTCATTAGCTTCATAGTAGAGAGACAATAAGTGTTGGGGAGTAGTGAACTACATGTAGTTCAACTAGTAATTTAACTACATTTTGAAGTAGCTTGTGGTAGTTGAACTAAATTCAAATCTTGTTAGTGTTTTCAGTAGTTAATAACTTGTTTGTCATGTAGTGGTGCAGCTATAACTACTGGAACTACACACTACTTTTTTTAGCAAAAAGAAAAGAAAATATGAGTGAAGTAGGCAAGAATCTTCTTTCTTTTTCAGCATCAGACCTGTCAAATTCTCACTTGAAACATAGTTTTTGTTTTTAATAGGCTCAATTACACATTCTGTTAACATCTGACTCCAGAGTGATCTGTTCATGCAATTGTAATATATGAAACTTCAGATTTAGATCACTAAGTAGTTTGGATGTGGTGAACTACTTTTCAAAGTAACTTTAGTAAAGTAAACCATATTTTTCTTAAGGGTAGCTCTAGTGTAGCTTAACTTCTTCCAGTGTGAAGTAATTGGTAGCTTTGTAAACTATATTTTCAGAGTAGCTTCCCCAACACTGAAGACAAGTGTAGAAAACAAGTGACAACCTTTTCTCAGCCTTACATTGTTGCCAAGTGTTGCTGGAGGGCAGAGCACACAGGAATAGTATTAGAAGCTGCTTAGTTCTATACAACCTCAGGGAACCAAGTTAGGGCCTCTCTCACAAACATGGAGTTCTCTTCTCTGATCGGTGTACAGTTCCTACAGGTTGACGGACAACTACACACCCTCTCCTTTTCAAAAGGTTGGTTGATGAGGCTGTTTTTTTGGTGGAAAACAAAGATGTCAACAATGCCATTGAGAGCACTGTGGAGTGAGTGCTAGGCTAGCCCTTTAACTACCACAGTGGCCTTTCCAGGACTTTGTCCATGTTTCTCAGCAACATGAATGGCATCATGAATGCATATTAGTTCATTGGACAATTTCTAAGCCATGGTTGATATAAGTGGTTAATCCTCACATGTGATATAATCTCAATTACTTCGGAACATTATGAAAATATAACGTTTTCGTAATGTTGATATCAACTATTTAGTATCCTTAGGCAAACTCACAAACTGTATGGTATTTAAATGACCAAAATGGGTAGTGGTTCAAATAAATGCAAACACACCACACACACACACACACACACACACACACACCACTCTACAGAGGGACTCACAAAAAACCGCAAGTAGTCATGTGAGAACCTTATAGAACTGTGTTGTCAGCCTGGTCTCATAGACTAGATGTAACATAGTAAACGTAAATCCGAGACACTCAAATGAATATGATATGTTACGTTTGGTATGGCTATGTAAGACAGAAGGTTACTTAAGGCAAAAACGAAGGTAGGGTGATTGGTCGGGGTGGATGGGTGAGCGTATATCGCGAACGTCAAGCAACCCAAAGGTTTTGTGTTCATTTTAGCTAATTAGCTAATTTTGCAACTACTTACTGCTTTTTAGCTACTTTGCAACTACTTAGTATGCTAGCTAACCCTTACCCTAACCTTAACCCTTTAACCTTAACCCCTAATCCTAACCCCTAGCCTAGCTAACGTTAGCCACCTAGCTAACGTTAGCGTTAGCCACCTAGCCACCTAGCTAATGTTAGCGACAACAAATTAGAATTCGTAACGTATCATAGGTTTGGCAAATTCGTAACATATTGGAATTGATAACATATTGTATGAATTGCAATTCGTAACATATCATACGAATTGTAATTCGTAACATATCACACAAAATGGATGATGGACATCCACAAATTAATACATACCATACGAAACGTAACATATAATGCCAATTTACTATGTTCTATGTTATGTCTACCCCTGATTCCAGGTTGGTGTAGTGGTGCTGTTTGATGGTGGGGCTTTTGTAATCTCCCCATTTCTCCCTCCACCAGCCTCCACTGGGCTTTTCAGACACTCAGCTGTTGTTCACTCTTCCTTCTCCCAGGTGGTGATGTGGAAGAGCTGATGTCTACAATGGCTGACCTGGATCTACACCTGGACATACTGATACCCCCGTTTCAACGCTGTCGTGGTTACCTCCCGACACAGCAGCCCAACCCCAGGATCTGACCCATCTCTTCCTCACCTCCCCTGGGCTTCCTCCAGCCAGGCCTCCTAGCTCTACCCTGGGCCCATAATGGGAGGATGCCTCTCCAAAAGCAAACCAGGTGACCACCACCTCCACCACCTCCACCAACCCACTGTTCCCTCTGTCCTACCCCCTGTTCTCCTTCCCTCTGTCCTACCCCCTGTTCTCCTTCCCTCCGTCCTACCCCCTGTACTCCTGCCCTCAGTCCTACCGCCGTTCTCCTTCCCTCCGTCCTACCCCTGTTCTCCTTCCCTCCATTATACCCCATGTTCTCCTTCCCTCCGTCCTACCCCTGTTCTCCTTCCCTCCATTATACCCCATGTTCTCCTTCCCTCCGTCCTACCCCTGTTCTCCTTCTCTCCGTCCTACCTCCTGTGTCTCCTTCCCTCTGTCCTACACCCTTCCAAATCCTGGAATAATTGGCATTTGTTTGCCAGCTATACAGTATATAGGTCATACAAACCCCTCTCCTGACTGCCTTTGTAGCATGGCGATTTGTGGAGGAGGAATTTTAATGCTCTCAATTGCATTGCCTTCAAGAGGATTACATAGTCAAATACGAGTTTCAAATGTATGGCACAATGTATGACCGTTTCAAAGCAAACCTATCACTGTTTCAATGCAGTCAGCTTGTTGAAGGACGCAGGAAGTGCTGTAATCAAACACATTACGTTTTTATATCTTTGCTTGCTCCTAAAGCTTTGACTTTCAATAGTGCTTTAGCTCTTAGGGAGAGCGGTTTAAAAAACCAAAACAAATTAAACATAATTTTCACAAAAACAACCACTGCAATACCACACTATCAGCTATTATGAATAAAGTGGAGGGGATAGGGAGCTTGTGTCCAGACTTTAGAGGGTGCTGTGTTGGAACAGAGGCCCCTCACTGTGAAAAGTCTAATTAGTCAGAGTCTTTAGGAAACAAGTGGGGCCCTGAACGGAACTTTGGACACAGCAGTGATGAGCACCAGTATAGTTAAGAAACTAAACCAGACCAAAACTTTTACACAATGTTAGATAAATACATGTTTTTAACATGTATGTAGAATACAATATCACAACATCATTACTGTGTAATTATTCCTGTAAGTACAGTGTAAAAAGTATTGTAATTTCTTAAACTGTACTTAGGGCTAAGGTAAGGGTTAGGGTTAGGGCTAGGGAAAATCCAGAGAAAAATGAAAACATAAAGAGTTACATTAAGACGATAATAACTATTCAAGTGTATTGCCTGATGTGATACTGCAAATTTCTGAAAAGCGTGGGCTTAGTCAAAACATTGATGCACACCTTGAGTTTCTGCAGTCAGTGAAAAGCAGATTGGTACCTAATTTGACTAATACATTTTACATGATCCTTACAGATGTGTTAGTGGGAGCTGACCCCTCAATTTGATCCAATCAAATATTTTAGCAACATAGAGTCAATTCAACACAGAATAGTTTCTAAGACTAGGAATAATATGATGCCATCAGTGCCCACTCAAAATGACTAAGCGCATGATGCCTCTGAATGGAAAAACAGAAGGGAGAAAAGAAAGGAGAATGAGTGTGTGAGAGAGGGGGATGAAGTGATAACACATGGCAAAGTGAGAGAATGCAGTATAATTTCACCTATGTCGGAGTATCTCTTCCTCCAATGACAAGTATGTTTCTCCTGAGGTGTACATTTTATTCAGTTTTGCTGTCAATAAGTATTATTGCTCTTTGGTGCATTGGATCATCTCAGTGGAGAGAAAGATCCCTTGCTACCCTCCAGTGCCTATGCTACCCTCCAGTCCCTCGACTTCTTGGCTCTGACGGAAAAATGGATTACCACTGAAAACACTGCTACTCCTACTGCTCTCTCCTCGTCTGACCATGTGTTCTCGCATACCCCGAGAGCATCTGGTCAGCGGGGTGGTGGCACAGGAATCCTCATCTCTCCCAAGTGGACATTCTCTCTTTTTCCCCTGACCCATCTGTCTATCTCCTCATTTGAATTCCATGCTGTCACAGTCACTAGCCCATTCAAGCTTAACATCCTTATCATTTATCGCCCTCCAGGTTCCCTTGGAGAGTTCATCAATGAGCTTGATGCCTTGATAAGTTCCTTTCCTGAGGATGGCTCACCCCTCACAGTTCTGGGTGACATTAACCTCCCTACGTCTACCTTTGACTCATTTCTCTCTGCCTCCTTCTTTCCACTCCTCTCCTCTTTTGACCTCACCCTCTCACCATCCCCCCCTACTCACAAGGCAGGCAATACGCTTGACTTCATCTTTACTAGATGCTGTTCTTCTACTAATCTCACTGCAACTCCCCTCCGACCACTACTTTGTATCCTTTTCTCTCTCGCTCTCCTCCAACACTACTCACTCTGCCCCTACTCAGATGGTAATGTGCCGTCGCAACCTTCGCTCTCTCTCTCCCGCTACTCTCTCCTCTTCCATCCTATCATCTCTTCCCTCTGCTCAATCCTTCTCCCTCCAATCTCCTGATTCTGCCTCCTCAACCCTCCTCTCCTCCCTTTCTGCATCCTTTGACTCTCTATGTCCCCTATCCTCCCGGCCAGCTCAGTCCTCCCCTCCTGCTCCGTGGCTTGACGACTCATTGCGAGCTCACAGAACTGGGCTCCGGGCAGCCGAGCGGAAATGGAGGAAAACTAGACTCCCTGCGGACCTGGCATCTTTTCAACCATTTTGAAAAGAAGGTTGACAACATCCGATCCTCGTTTGTTAAGTCAAATGACACTGCTGGTCCTGCTCACACTGCCCTACCCTATGCTTTGACTTCTTTCTCCCCTCTCTCTCCAGATGAAATCTTGCGACTTGTGACGGCCGGCCGCCCAACAACCTGCCCGCTTGACCCTATCCCCTCCTCTCTTCTCCAGACCATCTCCGGTGACCCTCTCCCTTACCTCACCTCGCTCATCAACTCATCCTTGACCGCTGGCTATGTCCCTTCCGTCTTCAAGAGAGCGAGAGTTGCACCCCTTCTCAAAAAACCTACACTCGATCCCTCCGATGTCAACAACTACAGACCAGTATCTTTCTTTTCTCTCCAAAACTCTTGAGCGTGCCGTCTTTAGCCAACTCTCTTGCTATCTCTCTCATAATGACCTTCTTGATCCAAACCAGTCAGGTTTCAAGACTGGTCATTAACTGAGACTGCTCTTCTCTGTGTCACGGAGGCTCTCCGCACTGCTAAAGTTAACTCTCTCTCCTCTGCTCTTGTCCTTCTAGACCTGTCTGCTGCCTTTGATACTGTGAACCATCAGATCCTCCTCTCCACCCTCTCCGAGTTGGGCATCTCCGGCGCGGCTCACTCTTGGATTGCGTCCTACCTGACAGGTCGCTCCTACCAAGTGGCGTGGCGAGAATCTGTCTCCGCACCATGTGCTCTCACCACTGGTGTCCCCCAGGGCTCAGTTCTAGGCCCTCTCCTATTCTCGCTATACACCAAGTCACTTGGCTCTGTCATATCCTCTCATGGCCTCTCCTATCATTGCTACGCAGACGACACACAACTAATCTTCTCCTTTCCCCCTTCAGATAACCAGGTGGCGAATCGCATCTCTGCATGTCTGGCTGACATATCAGTGTGGATGACGGATCACCACCTCAAGCTGAACCTAGGCAAGACAGAGCTGCTCTTCCTCCCGGGGAAGGACTGCCCGTTCCATGATCTCGCCATCACGGTTGACAACTCCGTTGTGTCCTCCTCCCAGAGTGCAAAGAGCCTTGGCGTGACCCTGGACAACACCCTGTCGTTCTCCGCTAACATCAAGGCGGTGACCTGATCCTGTAGGTTCATGCTCTACAACATTCGGAGAGTACGACCCTGCCTTACACAGGAAGCGGCACAGGTCCTAATCCAGGCACTTGTCATCTCCCGTCTGGATTACTGCAACTCGCTGTTGGCTGGGCTCCCTGCCTGTGCCATTAAACCCCTACAACCCCTACAAGAATGCCGCAGCCCGTCTGGTGTTCAACCTTCCCAAGTTCTCTCACGTCACCCCGCTCCTCCGCACACTCCACTGGCTTCCAGTTGAAGCTCGCATCTGCTACAAGACCATGGTGCTTGCCTACGGAGCTGTGAGGGGAACAGCACCTCCGTACCTTCAGGCTCTGATCAGTCCCTACACCCAAACGAGGGCATTGCGTTCATCCACCTCTGGCCTGCTGGCCCCCCTACCTCTGCGGAAGCACAGTTCCCGCTCAGCCCAGTCAAAACTGTTCGCTGCTCTGGCACCCCAATGGTGGAACAAGCTCCCTCACGACGCCAGGACAGCGGAGTCACTCACCACCTTCCGGAGACACTTGAAACCCCACCTCTTTAAGGAATACATGGGATAGGATAAAGTAATTATTCTACCCGCCCCTTATCCCACCCCAAAGAAAGAAAAAAATAACATATTGTAAAGTGGTTATCCCACTGGCTATAAGGTGAATGCACCAATTTGTAAGTCACTCTGGATAAGAGCGTCTACTAAATGACGTAAATGTAAATGTTAACTACATGACCAAAAGTATGTGGACACCTGCTCGTCGAACATCTCATTCCAAAATCATGGGCATTAATATGGAGTTGGTCCCCCCTTTGCTGCTATAACAGCCTCCACTCTTATGGGAAGGCTTTCCACTAGATGTTGGATCATTGCTGAGGGGACTTGCTTCCATTCAGCCACAAGAGCATTAGTGAGGTCGTGCACTGATGTTGGGCGATTAGGCCTGGCTCGTAGTCAGCGTTCCAATTCATCCCAAAGGTGTTCAATGGAGTTGAGGTCAGGGCCCTGTGCAGGCCAGTCAAGTTCTTCCACACCGATCTCGACAAACCATTTCTGTACGGACCTCGCTTTGTGCATGGGGGCATTGTCATGCTGAAACAGGAAAGGGCCTTCCCTAAACTATTGCCACAAAGTTGGAAGCACAGAATTGTCTAGAATGTCATTGTATGCTGTAGCGTTAAGATTTCCCTTCACTGGAACTAAGGGGTCTAGCCAGAATCATGAAAAACAGCCCTCAGACCATTATTCCTCCTCCACCAAACTTTACAGTTGGCACTATGCATTGGTGCATTCCAGCTGGTGAAGCGTGATTCATCACTCCAGAGAACGCATTTCCACCGCTCCAGAGTTCAATGGCGGCAAGCTTTACACCACTCCAGCCGACACTTGGCATTGTGCATGGTGATCTTAGGCTTGGGTGTAGCTGCTCGGCCATGGAAACCCATTTCATGATGCTCCCGACAAACAGTTATTGTGCTGACTTTGCTTCCAGAGGCAGTTTGGAACTCGGTAGTGAGTCTTGCAACTGAGGGCAGGCGATTTTTACACTCTACGTGCTTCAGCACTCTGAGGTCCCATTATGTGAGCTTGTGTGACCTACCACTTCGTGGCTGAGCTGTTGTTGCTCCTAGATGTTTCCACTTCACAATAACAGCACTTACAGTTGACCGGGGCAGCTCTAGCAGGGCAGATATTTGACGAACTGACTTGTTTGAAATGTGGCATCCTATAGTCCCCTGTGGCTCAGTTGGTAGAGCATGGCGCTTGCAACGCCAGGGTTGTGGGTTTGTTTCCCATGGGGGGCCAGCATGATAATGTATGCACTCACTAACTGTAAGTCGCTCTGGATAAGAGCGTCTGCTAAATGACTAAAATGTAAATGTTAACTAGGCAGGGATAATCCAAAAACAAAGCAGCTTGCATTGCTAGAAGAAATGATGCTATATAGAACCACAAATCAGCCTTGTTTTTTAGCAGTGTGTATGAATGTAAAATTACACTTTGTAAAATTACAGTACAAAAGTAAGACCAGCAACACATTGTGGATAAATAGCCTCAGTTAAAGGTAATAGGTTTTAGGACAGAGTCATCACACATAGTTTGCAAGTCATTGACAAATAAACCCCTGTCCAGGAGAAGGAGAGTTAAACCTAAATAAACACTTTATGCTATTTTAATGATGATAAAAAATTGCTCATGTACATGAATGGGCTGTGCTGCTTACTTTAGTTATTTAATTAATTAATTGATGTTCAATGATCATGTTACTCTTCATTTTATATAAAGTGAGCTCCAAAAGTATTGGGACAGTGACCATTTTTGTTTTGGCTCTGTACTCTAGCACTTTGGATTTGAAATGATGCAACGGCTAGGAGGTTAAAGTGCAGACTATCAGCTAAGGTTTTTCATCCATATTGGGTGAACCGTTTAGAAATTACAGCACTTTTTGTACATAGTCGACCCATTTTAGGGGACCAAAAGTATTGGGCTAAATTCACTCATGTGTAGTATTTGATTCCCTAAAATGGGGAGACTATGTACAAAAAGTGCTGTAATTTAGAAACGGTTCACCCAATATGGATGAAAATACCCTCAAACAGTCTGCATTTTTGCCTCATAGTCATTGTATCATTTAAAATCCAAAGTGCTGGAGTTCAGAGCCAAAACAACAACACATTTGTCACTGTCCCAATACTTTTGGAGCTCACTGTACATCAACCTCTCATCAAATACATGTAGCAATTACTTAAGATTTCAGATACAGTACATCTGATGTTTAGGATAGATTCTGACTTCAGCATGGTGCATATGGTTGAGTAGGCTATCAACTTATGGATTCAGAATTGCCCCGATCAGCAGATGTGATTTTATGATGTGAGAATCTAAAGAAAGATAATTTAAAAAATATAAAATATCCCTATAGCAAATCAAACACACAATGTGAATTTGCTTACATAAGATCCTAGTTGAAGATCTCTCCTTTGAAAAAAAAAAAGATCCCATATGAGTGTGGGGATGGATGCCTCTCCCGTTTCCTCTCCTGTGATTGCAGTCACTCTCATGATTTTCCATTGATTTTAATTAAGACTTGCTCAGCAGGTCAGAATTCCAGGCAGATTATCGTGTAGGAACCGGATCGTCAGCAAAATATTTTTACAGCCAAAGAGATAAAGCTGGCTGCAGTGAAAACGGGTTGCACAACCACTTCTGCAGAAATGCAGAAATACAAACACCAGAGGCAACTTATCAGATGTCATCAAATGCCTCAGGGCGCCTCACAACAAATAAACCCACACATCCCCTTAGGCCTATCCTTATGTATATGTGTTATTTCTGCAAATATCTAATGCATGGTGTAGTGATCCTAAATATATGCTATAAAGCTCTCAAGGTTGTCACAGCAAATTTGCACCACATTTTAAAAAATCTTCTTAAGTCTTTTCATGGTTACGTCAGTTTCATTCGATACAAAACCCTTCTCCATGGGGAGTCTGACGCTGAGTGCTGCAATCAAAGGAGAAATGAACATGAATATCAGTGGCTGCTGGTGACTTAAAAAGTTGAGGAGGATGATGGGTGAAAGTTGTGAACTAAAAACAAGTGAATACATTATTTATTTTTTAAGTGACTGGGCAAACATCAGCCTGAAAAGGGTGTTGTTTTGCTAATGGTCTGTGGTCTGTGTCCTGCAGTTTTCTAGTGGTCTGTGGTATGTGTCCTGCAGTTTTCTAATGGTCTGTGGTCTGTGTCCTGCAGTTTTCTAGTGGTCTGTGGTCTGTGTCCTGCAGTTTTCTAATGGTCTGTAGTCTGGGTCCTGCAGTTGAGGTGAAAGTGGAGCTAACCCTCCTGGACAAAGAAAAGGAAGCAGATGTGAAGTCCCCCAACGGAAAGGCAAGCCCCTTTTCTGACTGCAGACCCAACGGAGCGCTGGAACATTTCTCCGATGAGGACTCCGCTGCTGCCGCCCTCAGGCTCTACAAACCCAGCGACTACCTGGAGGCCTCTGTGTGTCATGTCAAGGATCTGGAAAATGGACAGTAAGGCCAAACAAAAGACAATGTATACTGTACCAGGTTAATCACCTGGAATTTGTATGGCTGGCCTCACAATTATTGTCCCTTCCTGTGTGTGTGTGTGCGTGTGTGTGTGTGTGTGTGTGTGCGTCTGTGTGTGTGCTCTTATCCCTGCATAGGATGCGTGAGGTTGATTTGGGAAGTGGCAGAGTGCTGCTCATCAAAGAACATGGAGAGTTTTCTGCAATCGGGCACAAGTGCCCACATTATGGGGCACCACTGGTCAAAGGTGAGTCCCGTTCTGCATCGTTTGCTTTTTTGGTGGAATATTGGTATGGAAATTCATATTTTTGCTGTCTTCTGTTATAATCAAGCTCTGAGATGGACAGGTGTATGATACAGTGGGATGTATATCTTTGTGTGTTGCAGGTGTCTTATCCAAAGGGCACGTTCGTTGCCCCTGGCATGGAGCTTGTTTCAACATCGCTACGGGAGACATTGAGGACTTTCCTGGGCTGGACAGCCTGCCCACCTTCCAGGTGACCTTCCTTGTTCGGTTCGCAATGCCATTCATATTCCCTGCCTTCACGTTCTGTCTCTAAGCATAATCAAAACCGTGTACACATTGCTCATGTCTGTTTGCTTCAGGTCCGAGTTGAAAAGGACAAAGTGATAGTTCGCGCTAACAAACAGGTAAAGACACTCTGGGACTATTTAGAACAGATCATTGTGCTAAATCAACTGATCCCCCTTTGTTGACCTGTGACCTGGCAAACATTTCTGTCTTCAGGATCTTCAGTCACAGAAGAGGTCAAAAGCCATGGCCCGATGTTCAGCAGTTAACTCCAGCACTGGCTTCAGCCACGTCCTTATCGTTGGATCAGGTGAGTTGGCCATTGAGCATCTCCTTGCACTCATACACTCAGGGATGGAAATTAAGCTAGCCCACTAGCCCGTGGTTAGTACTTTTCAGACCGGGCTAGAAGAAATAGTGTTCAACTAGCCCACTGGCAACTGACATTTTGCCTTTTCAAATATCACATGGCACAGATTTTGGACCCGGGCTAGTAAAACATTGCAGTCTACTAGCCTGGCTGACCAGTGCCTAAAATAATACAATTCCATTCCTACACACACCGCTGGTAAAAAGAAGTCTGTTTGTTTATGTTCAAACTGTCGACTAGGACTGGAACTATATGTGTTCGGTTCATTATAGGTCCTGAGTATTCCAAAGAAGAATAGATGATAGCAGCTCCCAATAATTACTGCAACAACAAGGATTTTAGTTCATAGTGTCTTTGTACTACGCGTTTCAACTGTATGCTCTTTGTTTTAACGCACTTCAAATCGTTTTGTTTGTGTTCACACCGCTCTAAGATTGTGTCTGGTATGCCAAATTGAATCCATGCTCCAATTCACTACTATTGTTTCACTCAATAGTTACGGTAAAGGGAGCATGGATTCAGTTTGGGTAGCAAGGATCTAAGATTCTATATAGACGTTAAACAAGTGTCTTGTGTCTCCAGGTCCAGCAGGGCTGGTGTGCGCTGAGACGTTGAGACAGGAAGGCTTCCCCGATCGCATTGTCATGTGCACCATGGACAAACACCCACCCTATGACAGGCCTAAACTGAGTAAGGTTTGTACAGAGATCCAGAGCACACCACAGAGATGGTAAAAGGACTATCCCCATAAGGACTTAGTGACCATGAGGGTTCTTTAAGTTGACTATTCTTCTAGATACAAACATTGTTGACATTGTTGATGGAAGGACTACCAGTTATGCCCTATTGTATTTCATAGCAGATTGAATATTCTTCCCAGACATTTCATGCTCCAAAATACTTACTATTTTGTTATTGCTAGTATTATTAACCCATCTTGAACCCATCTTTAGTCTGTAATCGTGGGATAATATTGGTCCTGGCCAATGTAGAAGTTTGGCCATGATATCTATGAGAAAACGGTTTGCTGACCTTGAGTTTCAAATTGTGACAATGTTAAAAATGAAACCAAAAAATGTATGCTGCATTAGCATCATAAAAGTGGCATTTCTTCACTGAATGTCACCCACAACATTTCAATTTAACAAACGTCACCCCATAAACTCCAGCCTGTGGTATACTGTGCTGTGGTGCGGTGTAACTAACTATCTCCCTCTCAGTCCTTAGAGAGCACAGCAGAGCAGCTCCGGCTACGCTCCATAGACTTCCTCCAAGCCCACGACATCGAGTTGCTCACGGAGAAGGAGGTGAGACCTTAAACACTGATTATATAGGCTAAGTTTGAATCCACAACTGGGCTGTGTTCACTGGGGACTTTTCAAACCAATTGAAACAGCGAGTTGCTACCTGGTTGAATGTCTTCCAAGAAGAAGCAGGTATATCTCACTGGTCATCCCCAAAGCCAACACCTCCTTTGGCCGCCATTCCTTACAGTTCTCTGCTGCCAATGACTGGAACGAACTGCAAAAATCTCTGAAGCTGGAGACTCTTATTTCCCTCACTAACTTTAGGCGTCAGTTGTCAGAGCAGCTTACCCATCACTGCACCTGTACACAGCCCATCTGTAATTAGCCCATCCAACTACCTCATCCCCATATTGTTATTTATTTTGCTAATTTGCACCCCAGTATCTCTATTTGCACATCATCTTTTGCACATCTATCATTCCAGTGTTATTACAAAATTGTAACTATTTTGCTCTATGGCCTATTTATTGCCTTACCTCCATAATTTACTACATTCGCACACACTGTATATATATTTTCTGTTGTATTTTTGACTTTATGTTTTGTTTACCCCATATGTAACTCTGTGTTGTTGTTTTTATCGCACTGCTTTGCTTTATCTTGGCCAGGTCGCAGTTGTAAATGAGAACTTGTTCTCAACTGGCTTACCTGGTTAAATAAAGGTTAAATAAATAAAATAAAATAAATAAAAAAGAAGATTTTCGTTTTGTTTCCGTTGCAAATGTCCTACTGAATACGACACTGGTCTCCGAGCAGCAATGAAGTGGTATAGATTCCCTTGGTGATACCATGGCCCTATGTTCTCTTTCTAACTGGGATGTTTGGATATCATAGGCTGTGGCAGTGGATGTCAAGACGAGGGCTGTGACTTTTCAAGATGGCTCTAGGATGGAATACAGGAAGCTTTTCATTGCCACAGGAAGCAAGTGAGGAGTAACTGTAAATTGTCTTTGGTTGAATGCAATAAAATGGAATTCAATTCTGTTCTAGTTGATATTACCAGTTTTGACATCACTCATTCTTCTATTGACACTGATATACCCGTTTTTTGTCTCTTGTAAGACCCAAGCCGATGAACTACAAAGGCCAGGACGTTAGGAATGTGTTTCACCTCCGAACCCCTGAAGATGCTAACAGCGTAGCCAGGCTGGCCAACAACAAGAATGCTGTGATTGTGGGAACATCATTTGTTGGTGAGAGAGATGACAGACATGCAGTAGATAAAACAGTCACACATTCCTTTTTTAAGGAATGTTGATCTATAAGCCTTAAAGGGTTTATTAAGGCTACATTAAGTTGTAATTTGTTGAATTGTTGTTTTGAACCTTTGTATTGATAGTACTACTGTAATTGTAGCACTTATATCTGTAAATGTGTGCATGTGTAATCATCTGTATTCTCTGCATTAGGTATGGAGGTGGCTGCAGCTCTCACCGACAAGGCCCACTCTGTCTCCATCATTGGGAAAGAAGCAATCCCTTTCCGGAAGGCTCTGGGGGAGAAAGTAGGGAAAGCCATAATGAAGGTAGGGACCCACCCCTGGGAAGTCAGGCTCTGTGTCAGCCCTACTACCTCTAGAACACCTTCATCTGCATTTCTACACAGAGAAACTTATACTTTAAATGTGAATCATGTTCATTAGGCTCGATTTACCAGGCGCCACAAGGGAATATGTAGAGTATATTCTTATCGGTGCTCATGCACTTATTTAGACAATCAGGTAGATATTGGCCACTAGTCCTGTTTTTTCAGGGGAGATTATACTGTGTTTGCATGTGTGTGTGTGTGTGCATGCGTGCATAGGGTCTCAGCATGATAACACTGCATGTTCCCTGCTGATAACATAAGGCAGAGGGAGACTGTTGATACAGTCATACCTTGTAATACATAATGTGTTAACAATCCATTATTAAGAGAGTATTCATAGTAAGCGTTACCTCCTACCCGCCAATTACCCACTGGCATTAGTGATAGGCCTATGTATTTGTTATATTTGTAGCCGAACACAATTTAGGCTGAACTTAACAAAAGCTCAACTCTTTGAGAAGTAGCTTTGACCTTTGAACCTTAACCCAGTGCTATCTCTCTCTCTCTCTCTCTCTCTCTCTCTCTCTCTCTCTCCCTCTCTCTCTCTCTCTCACTGTGTCTGTCTGCCTGTGTCTGCCTGTCTGTCTGACTGACTTTTCAGCTGTTTGAGACAAACAGGGTGAAGTTCTACATGTTGAACGAGGTATCGGAGATGCTTGGCCATGATGGACAGGTATTCCGAAAGTGAGACAAACAGCATAACATGATGCACAGTTGGCTCTCTCCTTCCTTCTCTCTGCTGGCCAGTCAAGCCCACTTTTAGGCTTTGCCCAGATTCTCTACCATGCACACTTCCATTATGGATTTCACAATGGTGGAAACGCCCTCTGCGAATGATTACACAAATCCATGACGGGAAGTGTGCAACGATACAATTGGGGAGAAGGGTGGAGAATGGGGATGCAGCCATTGAATGGTGATGAACGGGTGTGACTGACCCTGATGTACCACAGTGTGCCAACAAAAAGAAAGGATAAGCAGCCAAGATTACTACCAATTACAGTCTCCATTTTGGAGTGTGGCTCAGTAAAAACAACGTGACAATACTGGTTTTGCAAAACAAATCTGAACTTTGTAGTCAGGAACAGAGGTAGTAGAACTGAGGGTAATCTAGTGGTAAAATGATGTGTGTGTTGCCTCACTGTTTTTGTCAGTGTTGTTTTTATGTTCCACAGTTGAAAGAGGTGGTTCTGAAGAGTGGGAAAGTACTAAGGGCGGACGTGTGTGTCATTGGCACAGGTGAGGAAGCTAGCTCAGAGACACAAACGCTCGTTCAGCAATAGCCTCCACTTTAGCAAATTCTCTCCTTTCAGTGGTGGTGCAGGAGTGTAATGTAGAGTTGATCCAACTCACTCTCAGCCATTGTTACTCTGCTTCCTGGTGGTGAATTAATTGTGGTTTCTATCTATGTGGGACCTCTGCAGGGTCAGGCCCAGCCACTGGCTTCCTGAAACAGAGTGGAGTTCACATGGATTCCAAGGGTTTCGTCCCCGTCAGCAAGGTAGAAACTGCAATTGTGACACACGGCATGGCATGCACAACAATTATAATATCACACAAATACTTTGAATCCACTCATTTCATTTAAAATGCCCTCATTTCATACAAACAATTTATTTCAGTGTTATTTGTAGAGCTAGAGACCTGAGTTTTTCCTGACAGGGAAAATTGCAGTTCTCATCTAATTTGTCAGGTGGATTGTCTACAAGTAAGAGATCCTCCTGATTTCCACATTGCCTCCTGTATTCTTCTGGATAACCCTCTAACCCTCAGACAATGCAGACCAATGTTGATGGTGTCTTTGCCGGAGGAGACATTGTGACGTTTCCTTTTCCGGGGCGCAGCAATAAGAAGGTGAACATCCCACACTGGCAAATGGCCCATGTGCACGGTAAGTGTTAATTGTTAAGTGCTAAGTATTACAGTGTTACGTGTTAAAGTGTGAGTTTTTCCCTAAGGGGTCAAACACTTAGCTGCATATCTGGGGCTGGATTTGCAGTGTATTGGTTTTTATGGAACCATTTCTGTTTGTTTGGGTTTGACAGGGAGAGCGGCAGCACTTGGCATTATGGGAAGACCCACTGAGATCAAAACAGTGCCCTATTTCTGGTCGGCCATGTTTGGGAAAAGCCTACGCTACGCAGGTAAACAAAGCCTCACTCCACAAGTAATATAAGTTAATACCGGTAGGGTCATTTAGCAGATTATATCCGAAGCACATGGCAGAACTGTCATGGACAGTGACACATCTGTTCATTATATGTGGCCTGTGCATGTATCCAAACCTCCACCATGGGTTTGCCAGCACCATGCACAGTCTAGCCCACTGAACCATTGGAAACTTTTTCACATACAAGTTATACAAGTTTTGTTTATGTACTGTATGAATTGTTTGGGAAATTGGGACTGAATAGGTGGCTAAAAGTAATCTTAAAATAGTGAGTTGGCAAGACTACTACCCAAATTGCTCTCCTCCAAATGTCTCTGTTGAGATTGTAGCTTCAGTACTGCCACCTAGCTGTGAAGTCAGATACTGAGGGTTTTCAGTCATCATAGGATTCAGAAGTATGCCATCATAATGGGTGTGGTGGTGTTGTGTGCACTCTTTTTTACAGACCTACTTAAGAAAGTGCTTTTATTCTATTACCAAGGTTACGGGGAGGGCTTTGATGATGTCATCATCCAAGGAGACGTGGACGAGCTGAAGTTTGTGGCATTTTATACTAGGTATGTGTCCAAACACCATCGTGGCTATCTACTGAGATGCGTTCAGCCATCGGTCCATGTTGTTTTGTAAAGTAAATCCTCTGTTTTGTTTTTGTCATGTTTTGTTCTTATATAATCCAGGAGTGTTCATCCTTACAACAGACTAAACTCTAGTAATCCTAGAGTTTTCCCTAAAAGTTTGTTGTCTAAAAGTTGTTTGGTTAATCTCTCCTACCTATAGGAGTGAGGAGGTGGTTGCCGTGGCCAGCATGAACTATGACCCCATTGTATCCCGTGTGGCAGAGGTCTTAGGGTCCGGAAAGACGATTAGAAAGCGAGATGTGGAGTAAGTACATTTCTATGGTCTTCAGTTGGGTCTGGGTGACAATGAGGTTGTTATGTTCTTTAGATTTTCCTAGGTTCACTATGAGCAAACACTGACCTCTATAAATGTTACCACATGATATGTGATAACTGTGATAGATGTTTCCTATGTTAATAAGTAGAAGAGGGTTTACATATTTGCCAGTGGGTGTCTGTCAGTTTGTTTGAAGGAAAGATCCATAAAAAAAACTATATTTGGTATTTGTTTCATTAGTCCACTGTTGATACAGTCCCAAAATGTTTTGCATGTCAACAATCAAGTTTTCAAAATATAGGAATGCAAATTTTTACTTTTTTAGTGGATTTCCCCTTTAAGATGTGTACTGTAATGCTTTACTGTAAACCAGGGGTGTCAAACTCATTCCATGGAGGGCCTAGTCTCTGCAGGTTTTTGGTTTTTCCTTTCAATTAAGCCCTAGACAACCAGGTGAGGGGAGTTCCTTACTAATTAGTGACCTTAATTCATCAATCAAGTACAAGGGAGGAGCGAAAACCCGCAGACACTCTGACCTCCGTGGAATGAGTTTGACATCTGTGCTGTAAACAATGTCTCACTTTCTCTAATGTTGATCCTTCATTTGTAATTGTGCATTCATACAATGAAGGCTGTTAACCCGACAACGCAAGTACGACAACTAAAGATGCATGTCTTTCTTAATCTGTCTCCACTAACAATCCCTTCATGTGCAGACAATTACATTGATAGAATCCACAATATACTGTATCTGCAATATTAAAGCTGATATACCTCCTAAAATATATATTTTTAGGAGGTATATCATATATATATATTTTTAGGAGGTATATCATATATATATATATATACACTACCGTTCAAAAGTTTGGGGTCACTTAGGAATTACCTTGTTTTCGAAAGAAAATCAATTTTTTTGGACAAATAAATTGCTTTTCTTTTGAAAACAAGGACGTTTCTAAGTGACCCCAAACTTTTGAACGGTAGTGTATATATATATATATATATATATATATATATATATATATATATATTATATAAATCTAAATAAATAAAAATAAATCTCCTTATGAAATGGCTATGTGTGAAACGCTCTGTCAGAACAGCATGCTTATGCTATAATGACGTAGTTCACTTCCAGTCTTACACTCATGTTTTCTGTTGTTCAGAGCATAGACTACATTATCCACATAATTCTTGTCTAAACTGCATAATATGCACTCTGAGTGATGTTTTTTGTTGTTACGTGCAGGACAGGGGACATGTCTTGGTTGATAGACAAAGGGTCGCAGTGAGCGAGCCTCCACGTCTCAGGCTCTCCGTGCGTCTGGGGTCTGTTGGATTCTAAACTATGGACACTTGTGGTGCTGATGAGATGCTGGGCCATACTGTTGACATACAGCAGAAGACCCGTGTCTGGGACTGTTGCTCCCCTGGAATCGAGACTGAGATGGTTCTTCAGTGAACCTCCACGGTGATAGGCTGTACATACAGTATTCTTACCAATAGCGTGAGCCATATATGATGTTAACATGTTCCAATACTGTAATGGCAGATCTGTGTCCTCATGCAACTTCACAGTGAAGCAATCCTGGATGCAGTCTCTGTGCTTCTGCATGATGTATCTACCTGTACACTTTGTTTATAAGGGGCCAGATAGGGGTATTGAATTTTTTTGTACATGCAACTTTGTATATAGCTATGATTCTCAATACACTGTAAACAAAAGGGCTATACAATTTTAAACTGGAGTTTTCTAAGGCTGAGATTAAACTCATTTGGTTAAGTATGCTCATGTTGGCTGAAACAGGCCATGTACAGTATATCTGGTAGTTGAAATAATAGGATTTTTAATAGATTGTTCAGCCCCAACTTGTAGAAGCAAAGACATTGTTACCTGTAAAAGCACATAAAAACAATGTTTAGGTTTGACAGCTTTGCATTGAGCCCTTTAAAGGCACAATGTTTGCCTCAAAGCCATGTGTTACTGCCTGGTCTCATAGACTAGACGTAACATTGTAAATGTAAATCCGGGACAAAAAATTAGTATGGTATGTTACGTTATGTACGTTATGTATAATGTGTTTAGCATTTTAGCAACTTTGCAGCTACTTATTCTTTTTTAGCTACTTTGCAACTACTTAGCATGTTAGCTAGCCCTTTCCCTAACCTTAACCATGTAACCTAACTCCCAACCATAACCTTAATCTTAACCCTAACCTTAACCCTAGCCTAGCTAACGTTAGCCACCTACCTAACATTAGCGTTAGCCAACTAGCCACCTAGCTAATGTTAATCACAACAAATTGCAATTCGTAACATATCATACGTTTTGAAAAATGTGTAACATATTGTACAAATTGCAATTGGTAACACATTGCATGAATTGCAATTCGTAACATATCATACAAATTGTAATTCGACATCTACAAATTAATACATACCATACGAAATGTAACAAATCAAACTAATTGGAGTATCCCGGATTTACATATACTATGCTACGTCTACCCCTGAGTCCAGGTTGATGCAAAGTATCATAATGAGATAAACTACACATAATCCATAGTTGCAGCAATTGAATGTCCCTTTCCCTACCTGACGCATAAATGCACGGACGTGCGCGCGCACACACACACACAAACATGAAATCCTCACAAGATGCTTACAAGTCACTCCTTTAAGGATGACAATGTACCTCTTTTTATTGGTGGGGACCTTTGTTGCCTGGCTCATAGATTGTATAAATGAGAAATTGAAATGTACTTTAATCTATGTTCATGCTTGCGCAATAGAACAACATGTCTGTGCTTTCTAACAAAAGGAAAATTACTGTTCTTTTAGATTTGGTCATGTCATAGATGCTGAAGGCTATTTTTGGTAGTTGTCACATATGAGTGCTCTTTGTTACTAACTCAGGGAACTGGGGTTCGAGGCCTGGTCACATTGGGTTTGGTTCCGTTGCAAAAATATATGAATTTGTTTATTTTATTTTCTCACCATATATTAGTTCTCTGTATTTGACGAGGTCTTGTTTTCAGAACTTGCTTATAATTTCCTTAGATATGTAGAGGAGAAAGCATTCCCATCTCCATTTTGGCATGTTGAAGATTCCAAAATACTTAAGCCCAGAGGTGAAAGACATTTTAAAAGACATATTCTTCATACAGGGAAGCTTAGAATGGTATCTTTTATAATGGAAACTTTGAAATAAAAGTATTCAAAAAAAATTCTGTACTACTCTCAGCATGTTTTGGAATTAAAGGTACATGTACAGTGGGGTCCATAATTATTTGCACCCTTGATAAAGACGGAGCAAAAAAAAGACTGTATAAAATAAATAATCAATTTATCAGAGAAAGAGATTTTGTATTCATATTTATTTATTTTTTAAGATGGAGGTCAAAATTGTTGGCACCCGTTTTTAATATTCTAGCACCCCCCCCCCCCCCCCCCCTTGCGAGGATAATGACACTGAGCCTTTTTCTAAAATGTTTTATGAGATTGGAGAACATGTTTTGGAGGGCGCTTAGACCATTCCACCATACAGAATCTTTCCAGATCCTTGATATCCTTTGTCTGCGCTTATGGACTGTCCTCTTCAATTCAAAACACAGGTTTTCAATGGGGTTCAAGTCCGGACACTGAGATGGCCATTGCAAAATGTTGATTTTGTGGGCAATTAACCATTTATTTATGGATTTAGATTAGTGCTTGTAGTCATTTTCTTGCTGGAAGTTCCACTTGGGGCCAAGTTTCAGCCTCCTGGCAGAAGCAACCAGGTTTTTGGACAAAATGTCCTGGTACTTGGCAGTTCATGATGCCGTTGACTAGAACTGGGAATTGCCAGGGACCTCACGATACGGTATTATCACGATCCTTAGGTGCCAATACCATATGAATTGCGCTTCTCATGATTCTATATGTATTGCGTTTCGATACTCTGATTTTATTGCGATTCGATGTTCCAAACATATTGCTCGCCATATGTCTGCTGAGTTTTGATTAGTCAGAGAAATAAAAGTGCTGAAAACAAATTGTCTCCCTATTTAAAAAGAAGATGGAGAACAAGCTATGAATTAAAAATACTGAAGTTCAACCAACTAGCACAAAAATAATATTGCGATATGAACAAAACAATATGTTACAATATATCGCCAAAAATAATATCCCGATATGTAACTGTATTTTTTCCCCCATCACTACCGTTGACCTTAACAAAGGCCCCAGGACCAGTTGAAGCAAAATAGCCCCATAACATCAAAGATCTACCACCATGTGTTACTGTAGGTATGAGGTACTTTTCTGCATATGCTTCTGTTTTTCAACACCAAACCCACCACTGGTGTGCGTGGCCAAAGAGCTCTATTTTCATTTCATCTGACCATAGCTCCGGTTCCAATCCAAGTTCCAATGCCGTTTATCAAACTCCAGGCGGTGCTATGATCTGATAGAAATACATTAAAACAAGTGGATCTTCCAGCAAGACAATAACCCCAAGTACACATCAAAATCCACAAATAAATGGTTAATTTACCACAAAATCTACATTTTGAATGGCCATCTCAGTCCACGGACTTGAACCCCATTGAAAACCTGTGGTTTGAATTGAAGAGGGCAGTCCATAAGCACAGATGAAAGATATCAAGGATCTGGAAAGATTCTGTATGAGGGAATGGTCTAAGATCCCTCCCAATGTGTTTTCCAATGTCATAAAACATTTTAGGCTCAGTGTCGTTATCCTCGCAAGGGCAGGGTGCTGGAGTACTAAAAATAGGGTTGCCAAAAATGTTTACCCTTATCTTTTTTAGATGTTTTTATTACTTGTTAAACAAAATCTATTTATCTGAGCAATTGTATTAGTTTAAAATAATAATTTCCCTTTTCTTTTAGCATACAATATTGCTCTGTATTTGTATTATTTATTTTATACAGTATTTTTTGTTCATCTTTATCAAGGGTGTCAATAATTATTAATTAACTTTA